CCGGGGGGTGCTCTGGGTTAGCAGTGCCCCCTGGTGGCAGACGCGGGCGTTGCACTCACCTTGGCTCCGCCCCCACCTCCCCCCCAGACCCTGTTTTCCTCCGGGCCCACGTGGTGCCGGACAGCTCCGAGCGCAGCGACGACAAGCTCTATTTCTTCTTCCGCGAGCGGGCGCTGGAGGGCGCCGTGGGGCCCGGCGTGCTGGCCCGGGTCGGCCGGGTCTGTCTGGTGAGTGTCGTGCAGGGGGCGCCGGGGGTCCGGGCGTGGGGCTGGGCAGGGGGTGTTCTCCCCTGGCAGTCAGGGGCTAGCTCCCCAGTCTGGCTTTTCCCCCGCCCCCCGAAATTCAGGGATTGAACCCTGGCGTCCGGGCCGAATTGCAGCTCGGAGGGGCCCGTTCGCCCTCTCGAAACTTCCACTTCAGTTTGAGTCAATAACAGGCATCTGCTTCACTTCCTGTCCCAAACTGCTCCCCAGCTGCCCCGCCCCAGAGGTGGCTGCATCTCCGCCCCAGGCGGGCCATCCCCATGCGGCATTCTGTGCGGCTGTTCCCAAGGGCTCCGCCCCAGAGGCGGCTGCACCTCAGTGCCGGGTGAACCGATCCTTGTCCCCTGTGTCTCTCCCAGAACGACGACGGTGGGCAGCGGGCCCTGGTCAATAAGTGGACGACGTTCCTGAAGGCCCGGCTTATTTGCTCCGTGATGGGCGAGGATGGAGTGGAGACCTTCTTCGATGAGCTGCGTGAGCCTGCGGGGGCCGGGCGTGGGGGGGCAGGGACGTTCCCCGGGGCTCAGTCTGAGCCGTAGCCGAACGCCCGCGAATTCCTAGTCCCGACCGCGCCAGCCAGGACAAGCTGCCAAGAGCCGCGGGAGAGTCAGGTGTGGGGACGGCCCCGGGGTGACACCGACGTTTTCCCTCTGGCTCTGGGGCAGGTCCCAGCTGCGTTCGTGGGCAGGGAACGTCTCACCCCACGGCCGAGGTCGCCACGCATGTTTCCCCAGGACACTGATGTTCAGCGGGTTACAAGCTTTCATCCGGGCAGACATCAGAGCGGGGACCGTAGTAGTGCAGCCGGTCACAGGGGCGGGGGGCTGAATACAGGGTGTGGAAGAAAGTCACAGATGGGAGCGGGGCCTGGGATGCCTGGGTTCTCTCCCCAGCTGTGGGCAGGGATTGGGTTACAGCAGTGGGGGATGGGAAGGGAGCCCGGACGCCTGGGTTCTATCTGTGATTCATCTCCCCCCCGCCCCACTTTCCAGGAGATGTTTTCCTGCTGCCGACTCAGGACGAGAAGAACCCCCGGGTGTACGGGCTGTTCTCCACCCTGGGGTGAGTCAGGGGTCTGGGGATTTGGGGGTGGGGTCTCGGAGGGGGCAGGGCAACCCCAGGGGGGCTGGGCGGTCTGTAACCCCCCTGTCCCCCCCAGGTCGGTGTTCCGGGGCTCGGCCGTCTGCGTGTACCCCCTGAGCACCATCCGCAGCGCGTTTAACGGACCCTTCGCCCACAAAGAGGGGCACAGCTACCAGTGGGTGCCCTACACCGGCCGCGTGCCCTACCCCCGCCCCGGAGCCGTGAGTGGGGGCTGGGGGCCTGGACGCCTGGGTTCTCCACGGCTCTGGGAGGGGAGTGGGGGCTGGTGATTAGAGCAGGGGGGGCTGGGGGCCAGGACTCCTGCGTTCTTTTCCCGGCACTGGGAGGGGAGTGGGGGCTGGGGGCCCGGACGCCTGGGTTCACTCCCCGGCTCTGGGAGGGGGTGGGGCTGGGGCTGGACGCCTGGGTTCACTCCCCAGCTCTGGGAGGGGGTGGGGGCCGGGGGGCGGCGGCTCTGGGAGGGGGTGGGGCTGGAGCCGGACCCCTGGGTTCTCCCGCTCTCTCCCCGCAGTGCCCGGGCGGTGCCTTCACCCCAGGACTGGGCTCCACGCGCGAGTTCCCAGACGAGCTGGTGATGTTCGTGCGCTCGCACCCGCTGATGTACGACCCCGTGTACCCGGCGCCGCGGCACCCCCTGCTGGTCCGCGCTGGCCTCCCCTACGGCTTCACCACGCTGGCTGTCGACCTGGCCCAGGCGGCTGACGGGCGCTACGAAGTGCTCTTCCTCGGCACCGGTACGCCGGACGCCTGGGTCCCATCCCCGGCAGGGAGCCCAGACGCCTGGGTCCCATCTCTGGCCTGGGTGGGGGAGGAGGGATGGGAGCCTGGACACCTGGGTCCCATCTCTGGCCTGGGTGGGGGAGGAGGGATGGGAGCCCGGACGCCTGGGTCCCACCCCTGGCCTGGGTGGGGGAGGAGGGATGGGTGCCCGGATGCCTGGGTCCCACCCCTGGCCTGGGTGGGGGAGGAGGGATGGGTGCCCGGACGCCTGGGTCCCATTCCTGGCCTGGGTGGGGGAGGCAGTGGCTCCCTGGGTCCCTGGGGGGGGCAGTGGCTCCCCCATCTCAGGTGCTCTCTCCTCTCCCCTCCCCCCTCAGACCGGGGCACGGTGCAGAAAGTGGTGGTGCTGCCCAAGGACCCAGGCGTCCTGGAGGAGCTGACGCTGGAGGAGGTGGAGGTGTTCAAGGTGAGAGACCCCGCCCCTGCTGCCCAGGCCCCGCCTCTTTCCTCTTGGCTCCACCCCTTTTGTTCCACCCTTGCATCTTAGCCCTGCCCCTTCTTTCCCTGGCTCCGCCTCTCCAGTGGATTCACCGCCCCTCCCTTCTCCCCACAGACCCCGGCCCCCGTGAAGACCCTCTGGATTTCGTCAAAGCGGGTAGGTCGGGGGCAGGGCTACTGCCCCCAGAGGCGCCATGGTCTGGCAGGGGGGCTGGGGGCCCGGACGCCTGGGTTCTCTCCCCAGCTCTGGGAGGGGAGTGGGAGGGTGGGGGGCTCAGTGGGTCTGGGGGGGTCCGTTCCTCAGGTGCGCGTCTCCCCCCAGCACCAGCTGTACGTCTCCTCGGATGTGGGCCTGACCCAGCTGAGCCTCCATCGCTGTGGGGCCTACGGCCCGGCCTGCGCCGACTGCTGCCTGGCCCGGGACCCCCACTGCGCCTGGGACGGCCGCCGCTGCGCCCGCTACAGCCCCGCCCCCGCCAGGTGAGCCGCCCGGACGCCTGG